CACTTCGAAATATCGCGACAAAACGTTTAAAAACCAGAATATTGGAAAATACAATCGTGGACATAAATGTTGACAATTTTTACGCACGCACGAAATTTCTAACATTCTTCGTCGATAAAACCTTACTCTTGCCCCCCCTTCCCCCAATACAATGTTGTGTGGCTTTCTTTTCATTGGTTGTCCATTCATTAACCCCTGCATGCRACATTGATGYGGGAGGRGAGGGAGGGAAGGGGAATATTTTCAGTTTATGCACACGATACAGTATTTTTAATGCTCCAGCGAAAAATTGTCAAGTATTTATGTCCACGATTGTAGGTAAACAATGGATTACAATTCATGTTAGTAAAAAATATAGTGATATAATAGAATATTTATAAATAACAATATAAAAGCGACTGTATGACATTCTTTTCTTTTAAAAGTCCAAATTTCAGTATGTTGGCATGTGGATCCTATGATTTTTAGCATTATAGAATGTCAAATGTTTTTATTAGTTCTCTCTAAATCCAGGGTAATTTTCCTTAGTTGTTTTGTTATAATATAGCAAAGAAAGGAAATAGCTATATAATAATAAATAGAAGTTCTATTTTCTACAAAATTGATTATAATATCACTTACTTATTTACAAAGGATTTGTTCTCTTTACAATAGGAAAAGAACTTCATATTCGAAATCTTATTTTGCTCAAATTAAAATCAACTGCTCTTTATATCAGTCAGAACATTTCTCATCAGACTTCAACAAGTAAAATTCAATTTCAATTTATTAATATTTTTGTATATATTTTCAACTGTTCATGATTCCATTGACCTGCAGAAACAACTAATCGAGGTAAACCAATGGATTACAATTTATATTCGAGAAAATATAGAGAAATAATGGAAGATAATAGCTAAATAAAAGCATATGCCATGCTTTTCTTTTCTGTCAAACAACAGTTGGGCAGTCTATATATTGCTAAAGTCGAAAGCGCCACAGCAGAAGTAAAAATGCACGCGCTGCAAAAAAAGCACGCGCTAATCTCAGGTAACGTGTAAAAAAGTATTAGAGAAAGGTTCAAACACTCGGATTCGAGTTTGCATTGAAAGACCTGTCTGTTTTCTTTCAGACGTTGACGAGTGTTCCACGGGCGCTAATACTTGCAACGTTAATGCACAATGTACCGACACAGTTGGATCATATACATGCCAGTGTAACCAAGGCTTTGAAGGAGATGGACGGACATGCTCAATGACTCAGGTATTCAAATAAAGTTTGAAATCATTGTTTCGGTCCTTTACATTTTTTATACCTAAATCAATTGCAGCATTTGAAGAAATCCTAACCGCCAATATTATTTAAATAGAGTAGCTCATGCTTAAATGACCTTTCAAAAGCAAAATACTGTGAAAGTATTTCTTTAAAAAGATTGTCTGTAAAATATCTGTATCCAGTAATAGTGTTAAGCTTTCTATGCCTGCCTATATTCTATAATAGACCTTTTTGCGGTTAGAAAACAATCCGCGCGCGAGGCAGAATAGTGCAACAATCCGAAAAATTGTCCTTTTTGAGCATGTTTATCTTTTTTGAAATGTCACGAAAATACTTTTGTTGCTGGCAAAAGTCATAATTTTGTCTTGACTTGGCTCTCTTGCCCATTTGACGGCTGCCGAAATCATGTTGCCAGCCTTGGTTTTAACCTCGAGAAGGTCTATTGTAATACCAGTGTTGCGCTCTTCCTGTAATTCTAGTAATTCAGTGTTTTACTCCCTTTACACTGCGATAGGAATGAAACAAACATAATATTGTTTTGGATGTTTTGATTTGTAGCACAATACACATACCGATTAGTTCATATCAGTCAAATCAGTCCCTAGTAGCAACAACTGCAAACTTCCTTCCACAGGTATACTACCGAGACTCGCAAGGTTGGACTCTTATTGCTCGATTCTCAAATAACGATACTAAGAACTGGATGAGAGACGATGCTTCCTGGTGGTACACTCTTACAACTCCACAAGGAGACGTTACGAACCCAGGTGTGAACCAAGACATGATCTCTGCAGCCTTCTGGTTAATGAATGGTAACAACATCAAGATCACTCGCTCTGATGATCCTCACCACACGGCATTACTACAGACGACATCAAACTGTTTTTCCACTCAAACCTTCCGTTCAATGATCTCAAGCTATGGCATGTTTACGTATCGTACGTCATGGGCAAGCAATCAGTGTCGTGGTAAGTGTAAAGTGTCATACGGGGGAAACTATCAGTCGACACATGGCTTTTCTCGGAGTCATTGTAGTAGTGACCTACAGAGTAGCAATTACATCGGGTTCTGGTGTGATTGGAAAAGTGGTGATGGTGCAGTGATGATGATTGGTGGAGGAGGCGATGGCTGTGGAAGGGCCGATCATGGTATCGCAATTACAGAGGAAGAAGAGGCAGCATTCATGGAGTATAGCAATCAAGGTGAATGTGATTTCGGCAATGAAGCTAACAAGGGTGATTTTTGCACTTCGACTTACTCTCTTAATTTGTGGATTAAGTGAAAACTCGACTTCCTAAACGACAGTGAAAAGTTTACTTATGGAGCTGTATGCCATAGTCTAATTTCATACTGCGACAATTTTTGATTATAGAAAATGAACCTCATCTAGAATTAAAGATCACAGCAAAATTTATCAAAGCCAATTCAATAAATATCAAGACATTTTGAGACATTTTGAGCAAGCTTGAAAATAATAGATTATAAAGGGATATTTCAATAGAATGAATTTAAATAAAAATAAAATAAAACAATAGTTTTCTTAATTTTGGTTCACTGTGGGGTATTCATATGTGAGTACTAATCATAACCATAAATACATGAATATATTTAATTGTTTAATAACCTGAATCTAATACGGACTTTGGTTATTGCTGAATCAGTCCTACCACATCCATGACCTCAACTTAGATTAATAATCAAATTACTAAGGAGGTGAATCAAATAAGATCTACGTACGTTTTGGCACATTAATTAAGTCATGGATGGCAGTGGAAAATCTAAAACGAGTTGAATACTTCAACTGGAATTTTGGTGTATCGCTGAATGGGAGTGCATACTTTGGATCAACGAATTAATCAAGCAATTGAATCAGTTCTACTATTTCTATGACCTCTACTTAGAGCGGATTTCGTATGAGTGGGAAACGAACACTGGAAAAAATCGCGCGCCATAAAGGTTGTAAATTTGTTGGTAATATGATGTAAGTGTCCAAAATGATGTAAATTTGATGGAAATGATTTACATCAAATTTACATCATTTTGGACACTTACATCATATATACATCAAATTTACAACCTTTATGGCGCGCGATTTTTTCCAGTGGAACGTTACTACACTGTGACCGTAATCGTAGTGTAACCAAATCTTAGTGACCCCTTGGTTCACAAAAATAGTGCAGGCCAGGTCCGGTAACTGTGCGGTAATTTCTACCGTACGTTTCCCACTCATACGAAATTGACTCTAGACTACTAATAATACTCAAATTACTAAGAGGTGCATCAATAAATAAGTTTTGGCATATTGATTGTCCAATCACCGCCTAATAACGTGACCATGAACAAAATCCTGACCCGCGTCAAATTAAACTGTTCGGCTACTGGATCACCGCTGCAAACGATCGAGTGGAGCAAAGATGGACGACCTTTATCTGTAAACACTACAGTTCGCCAGACCAATAAAGAAACTATAGGCGAGTTGGTCATTGATTCGTTCATGCCTCAAGACCAAGGACGATACAAATGCTTTTTYAGAAACTACGAGAATGGAAGGGCTGAAATTACAATACAAGTCTGTAATTCCATGAACTAAGGAACCCATCATGATGCATCCTAAATTCATCAATAGTACTACATCCATTGAGCCACCAATCAATTTTGTCATTGCTTAATAAGGCATCCCATTCATTCGAAAAAAAACATTCCCTAGGGTCCCTACCCAATGTTTACAGCATTGAGTAGGCAACTTAACACTCCAAACATCACCATACAACACAACATCCATAATGGACGCAAAAATGTATGAGTTTCTTCAACTCTTCTAGCCTTAATATAGAAGAGTTGAAGAAACTCATACATTTTATGATAAAAAATGAGCTGTGGCGATCCTGAAAGACCCTTGAATGGCCATCGAACTGGTAATGAGTTTTGGGCTGGAAATATGGTAGTATATACTTGTGATCCTGGATACAATTTGGTGGGACCGACTTTGTCTGGAAAATGGTGCATGGAGCGGCTCCATTTCATCATGTAGGTTTTTTATTCTTTTATACGATTTATCTCGCACATTTTTCTTTGTCTTAAAACCCCATTATCTTCTGAGAGTATTTGTCTTCGCCGTTATCAATAATTCTACATAGGTATCAACCATTTTCGATAAATAATAGTCGATTTTGTGTTCTTTCCGAGTTCTTCGGCATGAATGGCTTTAATCTTACAGGTAATCTGCGTAAATGTTTTTCCTTAACTCCAGAGTGGTCGCTTACATGCACATGAGTCAACCGTTCACCAAAACCGTCGTATATTTCTTCGTTATGTATAGTTTAAAACACGATCTCGAGTGTTTTAAACGGCTTAAAAAACTCCAACACTAATTTGAAACTCAAATCCGTTAAAATTCTTGGAGAAATTGCCGTATAAATATGTTCATAGATAAATGGGGCAAACTGTCATCCCACATTGAATACGCATAAAGTAAAATAGAACCGCTCTTGGCTGTTCACTGAAATCGGTTGACATCCTGCATTGGTCAATGATCAGGTTTCAAACGTGAGACCTTTGCTAGGGTCATGGACCTTTATATCTGATAAANATTAGTTTCCAATTCACTTGGTTTTCTTTGTTATTCATAGGGTTGTATATACCATAGAAACTTAAAGCCGGGGAGGGATTTGATATTCAGCAGGGAAATGTGGGGTTGATGAATTGAATTGAATAGCTCGTTATAAATTCAGCGGGCTATATATGAGTGAYCCCCGTCACTCATATATAGCCCGCTAAATTTATAACGAGCTATTCAATTCAATTCGTCAACCCCACCATTTCCCAGCTRAATACCAAATAAAATATACTTGTAGTAAACTAAGCTAAATTACTGAAATACACAAAATGGGTACCCTGCTATCAAAGCAGACTTCACGGATGGGCCAGTGGAACATTCCACGCAAAGTGCGATGGTAAAGGTCCGACTATTACAATCATCAAAGTGAACAAATACATATTTGGAGGCTATACAGACGTCAGCTGGCGTAAGTATTCCAGTTGTTGATCTTTGCTATATTCGGGGGTTAACACAGAACATCCATCACATTGGTACAGCTTTTTTATGCTCACAATAACGTATTATATTTGTTTTCTTTTTTAAAGATTCCAGAGGGACTTACAGCACATCAGTCAACTCGTTCGTGTTTTCATTCGTAAACAAAGATAACTTAAAGCCATTTAAAATGAAAGTTTTCAAATCGCAGTATGCAATGGGTGGAAATGGCGACTACGGACCAATGTTTGGATGCGGCAATGACATAATAATTACTGATAATGCGGGTAGCAACACAAACTCCTATACGAACCTTGGACATAGCTATACGCTGATTAAGGGCTACACATATGGATCAACTAAAGCAAAGAACCTTCTTGCAGGATCGTACAACTTTCAACCGGACGAGGTCGAAGTGTTTCGCCAAGATGGATGAGAGGCTAGGTTTAGGTTAAAAAAAAAACTCGAAAAAACACAGGGATCCCCCCAAAAATATATTGGTGTCGCTTTTAAAAAATGCGATGATATTTACAGTAGATGCATTGCACCTGTGATAGGTGGGCAATTTGCATATTTGTAGTTGATGTATGGAGCAAAGAGTTATCGTTTAATGTTTCCTCAATAATCATTAATGTTTATTTCTCTCGTTTTATATCAAAATTACATAGAAATTAATTTAAAGTATGAACGTATAAAATAATAAAATCATAGTATATTGAAAATGTTTTCAATAAAGGAGACATAGGACTCAATTAACATGGTGAGCTTTATAGTTAGTTTCCAGCTTTGATAAAAGGCGTTTCAGCTCATTTATGAATATACCCCAAACGTTTAGCGTCAGTGTTTGAAAAAAAGCTGTAAGTGATAAAACCAGGAACTTGTTATATGTACTATCAACGTACTATCATCCGATCATTAATAACAAATATTACATATTAATCGCAATTAATTGAGCTACCATTGACGAAATTAAATTGAGCTATCAGCAAAAGCAAAAATGATTCATCAATATCAATAAATCAAGGAAGCAAGCAAAATAATAACCAATATATCAATCATTCAAGGAAAGTAAGCAAAACTAAAGTAATCAAGCTAACCATTTTCTTCCTTGTAATTCACTGTATATCTTTGTTATAAATGTTTGTATGTAATTTCCGGGAGAAACAGTGAAGAAATAAGCAGGACATGGTGCAGTAGTCTTTGATGTAAAAATCATCTAAAATTGTAATTTAAAATTCAGTTTATGGTTTTAATAAACTGCATTCTATATGTAAATATGGGTTATTATTACTCTTCATGGATTTATGATTTTTTATATATATAGTATCTTTATTTCCTAATTCCAACTTCCACTATTGCTGAACCAGTTCTACTATTTCCATGACCTCTACTTAGATTGATACTCAAATTACTAAGATGTGCTTCACAAAAGATATGCACGTTTTGGCATATTCATAACGTCATGGAGGGGAGTGCAAAATCTAAAACGAGTTGTGTACTTCAGCTTGGTGTATTGCTGAATTTAGCCCTGACAATACTGTCTGTGGGGTATTTGACTTACAGAGTGCATACTTTGGATGAACGAATCGTTCGATGTGAGCAAATCAAGAAAACAGAGTCAGACGATGATGTATATAAAAATCGCTTGCCAAGAGCTGCTAACAATGGCTCGAGAGATCCAACGAGTGCTTGTACCAAATGCAGAGATCTCTGTACGCAAATTTTCTCGTCTGGATCGTTCAAAAAGGTACAAGCAATTTTGTATTGTCTTAATATGACTTTTAATGAATACACAAGGGATTTCATGTAGTTTCCAGCTACAATCTAAACGATCTCATTTCGTTTTTGCATGTGGAAAACGATACGGCATTTACTAGTTCTGAACATGGGCCAGAAAAAAAACATCTAAAATGATTTTCATTAAAAATAAGAGCTCTCACGATATTTGCAGATACAATGTAAATGACCTCATTTCGTTTTTGTATGTGTAAAACAATACGTGATCTGCAAAAACAAAATTCTGTCAAGCCTCAATGTATTTAATCTGAACATGGACTAGGAAGAAAACATTCGCCAACAACTTTGAAATAACCAAATTTGAGATTGATACGAAAATATAGTTAATGG